AGGAGCAGCAGGAGTAGTAGTAGTAGCAGCGCAAATTTACGCCTCGACACAGCCAAGTAAAACACATGAACAATAGCGACGTTGATACAAGCCCGTAATGAAGCCTAAGACAAGAAACTAACAACACACTTGTAGTAACAGTAGTGGCTAGTAGTAGTAGTCGTCGTCGTCGTGGAGGCGGTAGTAGTAATGGCAGTAGAAGTAACACAGCAATAGCGGCTGTGGAACCAGAAGCACGCGCAGTCGTCGTCGTAGCTATTGATATCGTCGTTTGTCGTGGTAGTGTAGTAGGAGAAATAACCAGTATAGCCATGTAGCAGTAGCAGTCTAGTCTATGCGGCTCTCTGTGTGTTTAAGGCCTTTGTGTGACTTCCGAATCGCCGCTGCGATGGCTCGGATGCTGCGTGTCAGGAATCCGGACAACTTCAGCCAGAACAACATCCTTGTTCATCCTGAATCCGAAACCTTCTCTGTTTTGGTGCTCGCCTTCAGCTTGACACTACCATGTCAGGGCTCAAGGCTCAAAGCTCGTAGGAGAGTGCCACCTTCAACCATCTCGGCCCGAGAACCGAGGGCCCGGCCCTGGTGGGGGGCAGGTGGTGCACGTTCAGGAGGCTGCTCATGTTGGACTGCACTCGCCTGGGAGGCTGGTGGGCTTCGGAATTGCTTTCAGCTTCGGGTCCCTGGAGCTTTTTTGTTTTTCTTTTTTTTATAATGCTGCGACACTACTCGCGATAACAGACACAATCAGAGTAATGTAGTCGGAATTGCAGGAACCCAAAATAGAGTTCATGGGAGCTTGCCAAGCTTCAAGTTCGATTCAATACCTTCGACCCGGACTCGAATTGTTCCTGAGGCACTACCGAATATCCTATAAAACTTGCGCCGTTAACCCACCCAAGTATGGGTTTCATCTAGCGGCTAGCGCAAGGTGTCGGCGAATTTTCTGGTATGCGCCGAAAAGCATGCAAGAGCTTCAGTGCTAAAGAGTGCAGCGGTGAAGACAGAGAGGCCAACTGCCGACAAAAACCTACCTCATGAACCTACCTCATGGTCGCGCCGAGCCCACGTAAAGTACCCGACCGGCCAGCAAGGGATATGCCACGAAACTCGTTTTCTATGCTGCTCCAAGATGCTCACAGGGCCCAGAATTCAAGTAGATTCGCAAATGAATAAGCATGCAAATATATTCATATATATATATATATATATGCAAAGGTATTGCGTGTGTATATGTTATTGATTTACCTATAGAGAGAGATAGAGAGAGAGAGANNAGAAAGAGAGAGAGAGAGAGGCAGCGAGCAAGAGACATACGAGTAGAGAGAGAGAGAGAGAAGGGGCAGCCTCGTGCGTCGTACGACGCTGGAAGCATAATTGAGCCAAAGTCTCAAGTACCATGACTTGTGTGCTGCGGAAACCTGCTGCTTCCCTTCTTCTGCCATGGCGTCAGAGCGGATAAACCGCGTTCAAGGCACAACTAAGCAACAAATATTCCATATCCGGCAGCGGCCTTCTGAAACAACTCGGTTCAGGCTTCATCAACCAGGTTAAGCGAAATAGGTGACCAGTAGAGCCATGAGCTTCTACACTGCGACGGATATGGCTCAAAGAAAAGCTTGATGTTGCTCAACACCTAAACTCCAAGCACTACACTTCAAGCCAAAATGCTGTTGGCGGAAAGTAACGGTTAAGTTCCTGATCTCTAGCTCGTCATTACCATCATCATCACTTATCGCCAGAGAAGGCGACACATAAACAACGTCCCTCAGCGAGCAACCCTAGCAGCTGACTGTCAGTCATTTTCAAAGCTTGAAATATCAGGAATGACAACCCTTGAACATCTCTGAAAACCGAGCCCAAACCATAACCATCCGCCCCCCACTTCAGCATCTTTACAATCCTTTAGTGAAGCTTGAGTGTCAGAGCCCACTGTAAACTCACAATCGTGCCCAGATGATGCTTCTCAGTTGCAGAGCTGTTCCCCAACTACAGCACACCCGTACCACCATGACTAGAAACTAGAAGCCCGCGAACCAAACGCCCACGCCAACATTCCTGCGCGCGCTGGACCTCTGGGCCCTGAAGTCCCACCACCCTAGCCTTCGGAGATGCTGCGGCAGGGGGATGGGGCTGGGGGCTGCTTTCTTCCGGATGTTTGGATTACTTGGATTCGGATAGGTAGACTTCGCTGCCCGACAAGATCAAAGGCAAGAGGGCGACGTGAATTCTCTTGACAAGCCGCAACACCTGTAAGTTGAATCTTTTCAATCGAAGCATCGTTAGTCGACGAAGCGAGGCGAATCAGTCCGCATATACCCGAAGCCCAAGAAGCCGAAAAGCTCTAAATCTCCACAAGCCCTAGACCTGTTAACCACCTTCAACGCCAAAGCATTGTCTTAAAAATAGCCGGATGGGGGAGGAAGACAACTGCCACGCACAAAAAGTCGTACTTCATAAACACCAATTGCTGAACACAGACACAAGCAAATCCTGAAAATCGCCGACATCATCGAAAGCGCTCAAAGCCCTAAAACCTCCGGCACCTCTTGAAGGGCTAGGCGCAGTAGCCGGGCATCCAGGGGCTCGTGGCAGATGGCGGCCTACGCAACTGCGAATTTTAACTTGCCTTGCTTGCTTTTCGTTTTCGGCTTTCGCATGCCGCTCCGTGCCTCTGGCCGTCAGCACTTAGCACCGACTTGTTTTTCAAAGGGATCCTGAGAAGCCTGCGTAGCTGCGAAGCACGCTCAGTGAGCTCCTTGCTGCAGAAGCAGCACCTTGACCGAACCTGTTGCCAAGGCGACGCACGTGGACATCATGCCACATGACTTGTCCGAACCGCCCTGCACAGCACCAAAAGTGGAGCGGTGAGGGACTCACCTTCGCCGTGTAGTTATTAATCGAGGAACACGGCTGCCATTGGCGAATGACCTTGTTGCGAAGCGAGGTTGGAACGGCGTCGAGTAGGTTTTCTTCCTTCTTGCGACCTGTGGACCTTGCAGTCATACTTTCTCGGATCTGCGTCTCCAGGAAGTGTGTTAGCGAGCCTAGCTCACCTTCACGTCGCCGTTCTTATGCGTGAAAGTGCTCTTCCCGTGTTGTTGCCTTTCCGACCCTGCCGTCCGCCAACATGTAGGTCCACGAAGACCGTGCCGCTCGCAAACCTGTAGGCCCCCTGCATCACGCCATCCTCGTAGACCCCCTCGTGCACGTTGCCGCTCGGCCACGTCATCACGCCCGGCCTCTCACCAGTCCCTGGTCGTTGAGGGACAGCTCTTGGTCCCCGTCGATGGGCTCGTACCGCTCTGACACCAATTTCCACCTCGTCCTTGATGCCTTGCTGCCACTGCACCCAAGGGTTCTTGCACCAGCCGCGGACGTTCTGCCGAAAGGAAGATTTTGTGAGAGACTCCCGCGCTCCGTCCAGGCTCCACGCAACGTGCCACCCGAAGGCCTGCTGGCCCCGGGCACTGGGGACGATTCAGGGGTGGCAGACAGCCAACGTGGTCATCACATTCCACGTCATCTTGACTCTGGCAAGCCTGCTGTGCTGCAGTGTCCTTTGGGCGTCCTGGCTGACGATCTCATCCAAGTCCATGTAGCGAATACATCTCCCGGACACGGTCGCTGTCCATTCTCTTGGTTCATGACGCAAATGACGGTGCTGTGAAGGCTTGGCAGATCGTATAGAGTCGTATAAGTATCCCTTCACACTCTCTGTGATGACGGCCTTGTGGTAGGTGATTCTCGCCCTGAGGGTTCAAAGCTCTTCAAATGAGGACCGATTCCAGGCCATAGGGTTTCCGATTGTCCTAAAATTCCCGATCTCCCTCCACGGTATGGAAAACTCATCTCGTAAAGCCGAAGGAGCAACTCCTCCGCTTCGTACATGTCGGCGAAGGCAAAGTCGTCGATCAACGTAGCGGGAGTGATATGGGGACGGGCCATTCTCTTCAACGCCCTTGTCAAGAAGTTGCGTGCTCTCCCAATTTTTCTGATATCGGACAGCTGCAGCTGCACACATTCGTCTTTGCTGCCGAATCTTGCCCTGGACTTTGCGCGAACGCAGAAGCAAAGCAGGTGAAGTCCGCCAGCCACCTGGGCTCCCCAATCCTCCAAATCAAACGCGGTACATCCCTGACCTGGCGCAGCAGAGAGGCATGTAATTTGGTAATTTGGCTTGCCGAGCCTACATCTTCTGCAATCGCAATTCTCTGCAGATTCAGATGCGATGAAGCTTCGAGCAGATCCAACGGAGCCATCGACTACCGAAAACCGAATCGCAGGGGCTGCCACGTAGAGCTATGTCTAGTCCGATGGCTGCTCTAAGGATGTCAGTCAGACATTGCCAGGCACTAGCTCAGCGCAGGCAGCTTCGTGTTCACGGCCAGTGTGGCAGAATCTTCATCCGGACCACAAGGGTTTCAGGGCGTGTGAAGTGGCTTTCGCTTCGGGATATAATGAAATTTCGCTTTGGGCTTGGGCTTACAGGGCTTGGCGCTGTCGGGTTTGAGATTTTGTGTCTAAGGCTACTGGTACGATTCAACTGTGTAGGAGTCCGGTCCTGCCTTAAGCAGGATTTCCTAGGAAGGCGACACCTCCCAAAATCAGTTTAGAGGGACCCTTTACCTTCGAAAACCCTATCTGGATTTCAGACTTTCCAGCTGAGCCCAAGTGTGGATTCTTTCGTCTATCCCCACGAAACCTCAAGCACCAACCCCCGCAGCCCAAAACATAGCATTCACAGCCTCAACTCCCGACAGAACCTGCCTGGAGCATATTCGCGGCCCGCTGCTGCGGCGTCTCCTCCTGCACCTCGGGCTCCCTCGCCTTCGACAAGGACTTAGGGCCTAGGGCTTAGAGCTTCAGGGTTAGGGGTTGAGGGGTTTAGGGTTTGGTAGGATTCGGCTCAACTTGAACATTGGGAAGTCTTACGCTGGTTGTGATGAGTATGCTTCGTGTGTCTCACACCCAGCCTCGAGTGCCTATGTACGGGCTGCCAACGATACTCCTCCTCATGACAGCATCAAGATTCATAGGATGGCAGCCATGCTCATTGGCATCCTGGATGTCATTCTCATTTGCAGTTGTGAAGCAGTGATGATGTTGTGGCCATTGCTGTTTCTTGTACGAACCTTGCCACTCTCACTACGGCCATTTCGAACACTACGCATCACATTTGTCTGCTATCCTGTCTCATCCTGACCCATACCTCTGAAACAGATTTACAATCGCTTCTGTATTCAGCATTGGCAACACCAGGAGGGGGAGGAAGAGGAGTATGAGTCGTCGACTTCGTCGTCGCAGCTGAAGAAAAAAACGGAGCAGGAGGACGAGGAGGAGCATGAGGAAGAGGAGGAGGTGTCGGTACCCGCTGCAGTAGAAGACGTATCGTTTCTTGATCTGGTTGCTGACAGTGAACATCGTGCTGTCACTATCACCAGTACCTCCATCCTTTGATCTATGAACTTTACGAAGGCGAGCATTATGTCCAGGTTTGCCACACTAGGAGCAATAGTTCTGCTAACGGCGGCACCGTTGTCATTATCCTGACCTGGAGTGCTGCTACTGATGAGGCTCTGCTCTGTGTGTGACTCTCATCACATCGGTTCTCGCTGCTTCTACTGGTAAAGAGTGGCAGCATCAACTAGCAGCAAGAGCAACATATGACCGGACACTACATAGTAGTCTACCATACTATGGGAAGCTTGAATCTTAGGAATGTAAACGTTATTGATCTCAGCCCTAACATAAGTCGCGCACCCATGACCCTAACACCTGAAGCCGTAAGGTCCGGGACATTCAGACATCACAAACTTCACGGCAAGCCCCAGTTCGAAAGCTGAGCTGAATCCTATAGGCTGCGTGTTTCTAGGATGACCATACCGAAAGAAGGAACTGCAAGAAGACAACGACCAAACCAAACAAGGGAATCACCCATCCAAAACGAAAAAAGGGAAAGTCCCCAAGACACGAGATGGACCACCCTTCCGTCAAATCCTGTATGCTTCCTACTCCCGGCACCCTCGCATGTGATAAGAGCATGCTCAGAAAATACCGTGAGTCAGTGCCAACGCCTCCGGAATGCCGTCCTACACCATAGAGTCTCTAGGGCTTACATCGTCGTAGAATATACCAACACGCGACAAGGGCTCCACCATGCTGCAGCGTAGACCCTAAACCCAGACATTCTCCCTGAACCACAGGCCCGGCTTGAATGCTGACGGTCACAAGTACGGCTAGAATAAGCACGGCTGCAGCTACTTTTACAGCCCCAAGGAGGGTTTTTACGACCTTACTTATGGCTACGCATAAGCTGCCAAGAGGACCCAAACTCTAAATGCATTGAACAACTACCCTTGAACAACTACTGAATAAAAGCCAGTACAGCCCTGAAAGAACCTTACGACTCCGATTTAACTGCTCCGATGCCTTGGCTACGGCAGACTGTGCCACCTCTTTCATCCTCCAAGCCTGCAGAGGTATTTGGGAAGGGAGTTTCAATTCGTACAGTAAGGGATTGGGCTTCAGGGCCAAGCAAGTTTAGCATTAGGGACCCCCCAGACAGAGCCGAAAACTGTAGGCTCTGTCCAGGGTCGACTATGGAGTACTTTATATGTGGAGAGTTTTGCATCGAAACGGGCATCCGCACTGCAGCTTCACAGCAGGGCTTCTGCACTGATCGAACTCACAACAGCGCTTCGTGCACCGTGCCGCAGAGTCCAGGGAGTCAAAGCTTTGTGGGACCAAAGTCTTGACAAAAGTCCCTTCAAGAGGATCCCAAAGCAAGAAGCTTCAGAACCACTCAGTACTTGGAGGTTCATGGGTA